AAGACATCGTTCTATGACGTCGTTTAAACTGTTTTTTTTTTATAATATCATGTGACGGGACGAACAAGTCGTGCGCCTGATGGTAAGCTGCATGGTTGTCCTTATTTCATCGAAGAAAGTAAGAGAACGCTATTTGCTCTCTCAACGCTAAACGCTCTACAACACATCAAAATATTGTATCTCTAGCGACACGCAGTATCAACACAGGATAAGTAAGAGCTACTCGCACCATCGAGTATATAACCAGAAATAGAGACGAGTTGTCATTTAATTTGTTTGAACTATTCTGCCAAATCATTACGGTGACAACTTCGCTCTGATTGGCCAGCCCGAATTCACTGTTTCACTTCAAATACAACAGTTTAACATGAACGTTGCTATTTTGGATGGAAATTCAAAAATTCCATTATTTTTTATAACATCAAGTCACGCGACGAACAAGTCGTGCGCCTGGTGGCAAGCTACACGCCTGTCCTTTACAAAACCTGTGAGGTTCTTTCAGTACGTCAGCTGTTTATCCCTCACACGGCTTTAACCAAACACACTCAAATCTCCTTCGACTCTGACAAAATAAACACTGTTCGGCGTAAATACACTGTCTGCCCTTCGACTACAGTTTCCACTAGTTGTGCACAGCGTCATTTCTGTTTTTTGGGAGGCTATTTATATAATAAGATAAACAGTATTATTAATGTCTACCCCTTATGCAGAGCGAAATGTAAAAAATTATTACTGACTGGCTGATCACACACAATAATTATGACTCGACTGAAAAGCTAGTAACTATACTAAAATAATGTATATGACACATATATACACCCCAACGCGCGCACACACACACACACACACACACACGTACACGCACAGAAACACACGCACACAAACACACACGCACAGAGATTTTTCTATTTTTTTTATTTGTTTTATATTCTAATTAGCTATCAATTTTATTTTACTCTTTAATTTTCATTATTTTTATTAAATTTTATTAGTGTGACTTTTCTGATAAACTTGTCAAAAGGGTGTGAGCCTGGTGATCTGTAACACAGGTCCCCAACCTAGTACAGACTCCAGCTCTCACTAAGGTGCTTCATATTTAACATAAAATGTAACAAATCTTCATTTTGTAAACCTTTTTGAGAGAAATAAAGCATTTTGTATTTGTATTTTTTGTCCATAACAGTTGCAGTGCCACTCAGAGCTTTAAATCGCAAAGATCTGAGGGGCACTGCCACTGCACCCGTCACCCTGAGACATTTAAGTTGACCAGTCGCATGTGCCTGTAATTTCACCAGCACCCTTACCTTTCAAAACCGAAACATAGTAATGCTGATATTACTACTTGGCGGCAGACATAGGTAAGGTGGCAGTACTACCCTGGATGAGCTCTTTCACAAGAAGCACTACTGCTACTAATATTTAATATAATATTTAATTACCGATGAAATGTGATTCCGTTTGTTTTGTAATTAGATGTTTTGTTGTTTTTCCCACACTACCGAATGGGACAGCCCCCCATTGTAAGAGATAATATCTTTATTACAATAAATACAGAATATTTTTGGAATATACGAAGACGTACACACAGATCAGTTGTTGGCGCTGTACTATTTCAGCTTTCTAATTTGTGATTTCAGTGCAAACTAGAGTTGATATTTAAAAGTGATTAAGGGCTCATTTGCCTGATGAGATGCCAGGGATGGATGGCCCTTGTTTCGTGTCTATTTCTGGTTATATACTCGATGGTCTGAAGACTAAGTAAGTAAGTTTCGCATAACGCGCTTGGGACGACCAGCGCTATGCGACGCGAATATGCATCGCGAGATTATGTGAATATGAGCGTCCGTACACGGCACGCGACGCGTATGCACACATAGAATCCACGCTGCTACGTTTGTATGGAGTTACCATATAATGAGTTGCCAGGGATGGATGGCCCTTATTTCGTCTCTATTCATTTATTATTCAGTATAGCCTGCAGAAGAAACGCTCGAATTCTAGTTTTTTCTCGTATTATATCGGTTCTATTGCGCGGGTTGAGCGACAGGAACGCTTTACGGCTTTATTTCAGAATTTATTTCTTTACAAACGAAATTGAAGCCATTTGAAAAATGTATATCGTATAATACACGTGTTCTATTTATATATTTATTTCAGTTGATATAAAAAAAAAAATCATTGGTATATGTAAAGTCCTTATTGAATACAGCGGTTTTCCTGTAAAATTTCGAAGGAAGTTTGTTTTGTTTCTATCGTGAAAATTGTTAGGCATCGTGTTTTTACACCATATAATCAGTGTGTATCATCAATTTTTAACCGACTTCAAAAAAAGAGGAGGTTCTCAATTCGACTGTATATTTTTTTATGTTACGCGATAACTCCGGTATTTGTGAACCGGTTTTGATGATTTTTTTTGTTGGAAAGAGGGTACTTCCACAGTGGTCCCATTTAATTTTGAAGAAAATCACCCACCTCTAAGGGTGGCTGTTCACGCATGAAGATTCATTTTTATATATAGCGCCTAAATTTTATTATAAGGAGCAATTATTTTAATGGTTGATTTTGCTATTCTCCTATTCATGGCGTTTTTCTCTCTCAATATACTTTGAGTAGTGAGAACCGATTTTTATTATCTCCTGTGTCAAGTCCCGTATAGTGGCGAACTAGGGGATATTTCAATAAAACTTGGCAAATAGACGTAATTCCACGTACTTTTGAGGTCGGTTTTTTAGTACAATGTACGGAGATTATACTATATATTTTTTCCAAAGTGATTGATTTGACACAATCACTGTTATGAGGAAACAAACAAAGAATAGAATAGAATAGAATAGAATAGAATAGAATAGAATAGAATAG